GTATTTTTCTTCAAAAGAATTCTCTTTTTTTTTTTTAGCTTGGTGAAATGAAGCCAAAATGAATCATCCCGAGATGTAGGAGAAACTACATATTATTGTTTACCTTATAGGTCCGACCATATGATAGCTAGGCACTAGCTTGTACCACCCGGCGGATGGGGAATTTATGTTACTCATACGACACGTAGGCCAGGCCGTTAAATTGCCGCTCGAATATCACATTAAATAAAGCCAAAATAATTACTCATTTGATCCTGGCCATATGGCGAAATTTACAAAATTATAGACGCTTTCTGGGCCCTGGTCAGTGTGTCTAGTTTTTATGAAGACATCAGTTGCACTCACATTATGGCTAATTACATGGACAATTTAATAGACATTCCCATATGTCGCCTCGGGGGCAGCTAATGGACCCTAAAACGACTACAGAAATGGCCAAGAACAGTGCTATTATATAACAAAGTAATGTACATCACAAGCCAGAAACAGTGGGGGCTAATATTTGTTTACAATTGCAACACACAAAGAATATTTTCAAGTTGTTTAAATACATGATTTCTTAAGGGGTAGTATATGTACTTTCCCAACCTCCTAAGTGGGGCTATTTTGGTAAAATATTTCTTAAAATTTAGTTCCTATAACTAGCAACGATTTAAAGGCCGATTAGCAGTCAATATAGTCCTTGAGATAAGCTTAAGTATTAATAGCTTAATTCTGCAGAAAGATTGTAGTAGATTGAAGTAGAAGTTCTCTGGAAGTACAAGTTCTCTAAATGTATCTCCATCCATATCCATTTATCATAAAATAAAAACGTATTATGTCAAAAGTTGGGGCTTGTGATATAAATTCAGACTTGAAACACGCGCGTGCTGACGGCATAAAATATTCATGGCACTCGCAATATTTATAATTCCATCGAAAAGATAGATAGGCGGAGCTATAACTTACTTGTACTTCTACATTAGTTGATAAGCAACCAGGGGTATATTTTGGTAGTACTTAAGATAAGAAAGAAACTACAAACTAAAGGCTACTCTAGAGTCTATGGTCAAGACAGTAAACTATCAGTCGGGGTAGAAATATATATATAGAGTATCATAGCTATATGACTTGAGATTAAATATATATGTAACCCCTACTGTAGATGTGCATTCGTCGATATTGAATTAGTAGCCGACTGGTCAGGGATCGCGGTAACCGGTTCGATGCCATCATCATGGCATCATAATGTATTTTTTACTTTTATATATCGGAGTACCTACCAATATGGCATATTTTCGCCAACAAAACTCTGCCAAAATGTGTAAGTGACTCAGTTCAGAGCACAAACACACACCATACACACTTGTTTTCAGCATTCCAACCAACTCAACGGCTGATATTCGAGAGCTCTGAGCTTGGGGTTAGCTATGGATCTGCGAATTTCACAGTATTTCAAGACTGAGTTCGAGCGTCACGTGCTTTTCGTATCGATTCGCTGCTTTATCGGCTCTTTTTTCGCGAAATGTTTTGTTTTATTTTTTTCTTGTTTTGTAAACAATGGGAGGCTTGTTTCTAAATATTTATAGCGTGTTCATTTGCGTGCCAGTGTAGTGTATCTGACTCTGTGTGTACTTTTGTGTGTAATTCGGTATCGTTTATTATACAATACCCATTTTAGGTTAGGCACGAGTTACGCTTTTGACTCTTCGGTTGGGTGGTTGGGTTTGGGGTGGCCAGGTGGGCGTAGTCAACTTTCTTAATCCGCCTAATACCGCCTTCTTATTGTGCGATCACGTTCGCCAAATGGCTTGGAATATGGGATGCGTAGGCAGACAAAGACTCGCTAATTTCCCAGACACGCTGGTCTTAGGTCTTAGGTGCAGGCCAAGTGCGTCAATTGCAAGAGCTTGTAATGGAAATATTTACCAAACTATTACCTTCCTAGAGGCTCCTATAATTTCCATAATAAATCCCTGATAATTAAGCTTTTAGCACAAGACTGTGAAAAGTCTTTTAGCTTTTGCCTTAACTATTACCTTGCTTTTAAGGAATTTTCATTTGAATTTCAAGTAAAAGCCAAGCAGATGCTGAATAATTAGCAACCCTGACTGACACTTCCGCTGGCAGCCAAATTATTAATTAAAACAAATCTGCACCAATCCGGGCCCCCACGAAAAAGAGCAAATAATTGAAATAATTCTTTGAATCTGAAAGGGAAACTAAAACCAAACAACAAGCATAAAATATGCAACCCAGAACTGGCCATCGCTTTGGATTGGTCTGGTTCTGGTTCAATTTTTTTGTTCAGTTTTTCAATTCAATTAAACGTTGGCGGGCTGCTGAACCTGGCGACCGACTGGGGGACCTTTTTTTGCTGTTTATTCGTTTTTTTTTGTTCGCCTGTCTGTCTGCTCGGCGCATAATTCACTTTATTCAAATGAGTTTAATAAAATAAACGCCTGTATGCCAGGCACAATGGGCAAAAGGCGAACTACGCAGTCCATTGTTGAGCCAAAAACTGTTTCAGATGCACAGAGAAAAAGGATCAAAGATCAGAGGATCTTAAAAATAAGAATTTTTAAAGGAATAACTTAGAGATCTAACACCTTACTTTGAGCTAATATTCTCTAATATTTTAAATAATATTATTTTCTTCAAGTGCCTTCTAGTAGATTGCCTTAACTGGGGCCGGATGTTTTCCAGTGATTCCCCGCAACTAAGTCTCCAAGCGATCTGAACTTATCTCGGAATGAAGAGTGACAATGCGGCGCATCACTGCCCCAAGCTCAAGTATGGAAATTGTGGCAGTTGTACTGAAATGAACCACAATGCACTCCAGGGACAGAATGATATTCCTAGGAGACTTTTAAAGCGAAATACCAGTGGATAAGCAGTTAAATATAGTCTCAAGAGATGTAACTAATTCAGGGTAGTGAGAGATAAAAGAACAACTAACTAAGCCCAATCATGGTCTGGATACCTCTGATAACGCTACAACCCGATCTTGTTATTCATTTACAACCTATATCCATATAAACTCCAGTATCTGGCTCACCTTGTTGGCCAAAATCAAGGTAATACTGGGAGAAATGTAAAAATATTTACCCTCCGGCCGGTTATTAACTTTTATTCAATATATAGATATCGTCCCATACCTTCACAGACATATGTTTAATATTTCTATTTCATACTTGTTGTTGTTGTGCCCTCGGATCGGGCTCAATGAAATTACTTGCACAATTACCGAACCGAACGCGCGACAAACTCAGATCCAAAGTCAGCCACAAATTGATTGTTTTGGTATCTCGAGTAACTACAATACATGCCAGCTATATAGGGATTTATATATCGTACATATATAATATAGCATATGTGTAGCTTTCATATCGCTTAAATTGCTCTTCATGTGAGCACTGGGATATCCATCGAGTTGTGGGCGTATTTTTGTTTCGCTCTGCGGTTCTGTCATTAACACATATCGCCCTCGAGTCGCGGCTAGTACTTGATTTACTTAATAAATTTGATTAGGATTTACGACCGTGTGTGAGTTATGAGTGTGTATGTGGGTTGGTTTTCAATTTCGCCAAGTTTCATATATGTATATTTAGGAGGTTTATTCGGTCAGGTGATCTGGATATCTTGAAGCCATGACAACAACCACCAGTCAGTACGAATTTAGACCAAAAATATTATTGATTTTCAAGCCACCTGCCTGACAAGGGTTGGTGGACTGCCTCACTAGGTTAGTTGGTTACTGTCGATAGACCCAAGCCCATCATGGCTAGGGAGTTCAATGAACCAACCACCCATCTCAGAGCACTGTGGGCACTTTCAAGTTGCACTTGGACAATAATCGACATGAATCACCGCATAAATCACGTTGTCGTCGCCCAGGCACGTACTCTCAAATCTTTAAATATGCGATATGGACAGACGTATGGATAAATGCCCAGTTAGATGGATTGTGACTCTCTGACTTATTGAAATCGATTGATTCTGATTCCAGTCTGTCGGCTTTGGTTTTATTTCAATTTTTTTTCTCTATCTACGACTTGCCGGATCTGTAAAGTGCACGACTGTTTTGAAAAGTGGTTTTTTGTATAAATCGCCTCGACTCACGTGAGTGAACGATCGAACTCAGTTAAGTGACAAACTAGACGGTTTGGCCAAAACTACAATTTGTTCATTGCCAGTCAACAAAATATTAAAATAAAGATATAGATACAGAGATATATATATTGGTTTCTAGGGCAATCTATTAAAGATAAGATAGCGAAGCAAACAAATTGATTTTTTCGCCAAAAAGTAAGCCGAGTTGTAACAGTAATATAATAGTTACGATATTAGGTTAACAATTAAACAAATGTTGGGAAAAATGAGATATCTCGGATATCTGAGTGACTCATAGAACTGACATAAAATATTTATCTAAACAACCATTCGGGGAAGTATCTTGGAAAAAAATTACAAACTGAAATTCTAGGAAAACACCTCCCCTATAAGAGATATTTATATAATTTACAAATACCATAAATAACAAACCATCTTCCTATTCAGTTAAGATTTAAGGCCACTTGTAAACTTTTATAGAAGCACCCTCCCCAAACCCCCCAAAAAATAAGACCATTTTTTTAAAGCCATAATCAAACCTAAAAAATATGCTAGCCCACCGTCATAAATTGTGCAAGGTTAGAACGAAAAAAAAATGGTCTATCTAATCAGTTACGTATGAGGAGGCACACTACCAGAAGACCTGGAAAAAAGTACACTTTTTAAGGCTTATAAAGTTGAAATAAAATATTAAAAATAGAAAATAAAATTTACAATCATTGTGATTCATGCAAAACTTGGGACTATTACCCGTGAGTTGCACAAAGTTATCAGAATGAATCAGAGGATCCTAGACCACTATATGGATATTTCTGGCCAATAGTGGGGTGGGGGGGAAGAACACTTACCTGACAGGGGTCTGTTTTTTTTTTTCCTGTTTCTGCCCTTCTTTTGTTGATTATTTTTTGGGTTCTCTTTCGGGCCTTTGGATTGCCCTCTGATTTGCTGCACTTGTTCTTGTGCCTCGTCTGCGTCGTCGTCGTTTTTTATGCACTTGCTTGCTGATTTTTGTTTTGCTTGCCTCGTTCGTTTATCGGGTTGTCACGTTTTCACTTTCACAGGTAGATTCTAAAAAAGAGGACGATTTTTTTCTTTTTTTCGAATATATATTTCTACTGCCTGCCGCGGTCGTCGCGTTGTTCGCGGGGGTGTGGCGCGGGAGAGGCGACGGGGCGCTTTTGGCCTTTACACACACACACGTACGCACTAACACACACACACAGTGACTGAAAGCGGGAACGAGAGTACTGATGGAGCTGCGGATCTGCGGAGCGACGTCGACTTTTCGCTGCGAGAGTTGAAATCCAATTGGAACGTACCGAGCTGGGCGCGTGATACCGTTACCAAAGTGGGAGCTCGGGAGACTGGGCAAGAGAGCGCCCGCTGAGTGCGCAAGTGTGTGTGGGAGCTAGAGATGGCCCACTGACAGTGGTGTACATTCAAATAGATACACTTTGGATGCACTAAAAGGGGAATTTCAAAGAAGTTTCTAGAAATTTACGAAATATCTAATTACTATAATTATGGGCTTTGTTTGTGGGTTATATTTAGGAAGATTTTTCTAATTAAAATACCTTTTTAGAACTTTCTCTGGCATTACATTATGGTGACTATTTAGGACTTCTTTTGTAAGAAACCCACACGATCGCACGATAAAAAGAGAACTACCTGAGAGAACGCATTTCTATGTAAACATTACTCTCCTCATTTTACACTCTTGTTTCTTGTGGAATCTCTGTTTATGTATGGGTGCGATAATGATAAATACAAATGCTAATTTTCGCCGGTTAATTTATGTTAAAAGCGTCTATTTAGGACTTTGATTTTTGGTAATTTTTATTTCAGCAAACTTATACTCTTAATCTGCAATTTTTTTCTATTTTTTATCTAAGCTAGATGCAGATAAAGATAATTTTTTTACACGTGGTTTTAAATACTATCGATCGCAAAGAATTAGGGTATGTTCCGTAGAGGAGAGTGTTGGTTCTGAGAGGGATAATACGATAGGGACACCCCCTTATACCCCCCACCCCCTTACCGATAGGGACAGGGGATTTTTTGGGATGATCTTTAAACCAGGTATCCTTTAGTCGAGAGATCATACTCTATAGAAGGTTCTTTTATTATTTTATTTTATTTATTGCAACTTCACGCAACAGAAATTCCCAAACACACACTATCACAAACGTCTACAAATAAACGGAACACGTCACATAGCCAAACAACAACAACAACTCCCTCTCTTTTGATCTCTCTCTCCCGCTCACTCCAATTGTGTGCATGTGTTCGTGCCAAAAAAGGCAAGAAAAATATTGTGTACAACAAAAATTATTAAATTACTTAAGTAATCTGCTAAGTACTTAATTATAGATTTAGTTAACGCTTTTTGTACGCCAAATGGGTGACAATATTATCGATTTATTGGCATGTAAACACGGATTAGCGCCCCGCTTTAAATTGGTAAATAAGACTATTTATATTTCGCACGACAATTGGGTATTTCGATAATACGTTTGTATTGGCTCCTCCATCCACAAGTGTGTGTGTGTGTGCAGTGCGTGTGTGTGAGAGGACGGGCCTCCTCTTCTAATGCTCCCAAAAAGAAGAAGCAGTTGTTGGCCTAATTATTCGCACGGCTTCCTTGCAGAATTACCGTGTTCCTAGGCACGCACGTTTTCCTTCTGCTCGATTTTACTTTGCATTCCGAAGCTATTTTATTGATGATTTCACAATTGTTATTTACTTTTTTGCAATTAACGCCGCGGGTTTAAGAAGAAGCACGCCGTGGTATTTGAAAGTGTTGTGGAATTCGATAATTTGGCTTAGAGATGAAAGTTAGAGATGGGACTTATTATATACTAAAATAATACCAAAAAATTTGGTTTTGAAAAACTACTCTGCCCGCCATTATTCAAATATTTTTAAAAATAAATCCAATTTGCAGCTTAAAAAATGTTAGAAAGTTTAATCTTTGTTCGTTTGAGTTTACAACTATTTCGAGTCTTAATCTCTGTGAGTTTCACATAGGTTTAAAGTTTATATAGATTCATTACTAGAAGCCTTTGCTTGAATCTCATTTTGTGTGGAATTTAAGACGAATCTCTTGATAAATCTCTATTCATCACTAAATATTACGTTGCACATCTCATTGTTCTTTTGGTTGAGGGCGAAAGTGCAGCCCGCAGTTTTATGGGACAGAGTAGAGCGCACATGTTTGGCATAAGGTCGTTCCACGGCCTGCAGGAAAACGGAACGAATGCTTGTTTGCCTGAAAAAGATAATATTTATTATCAAACGATATGGTAGAAATATATTTTAGGGTCTTACTTGAGCAGTTGCTCTGGGCGCTGCAGTTTCATACAGAGTTTAATGCCGCTGTAAAAGTCCAGATGCGCCTCCAGGCTCAGCTTAGGTTCGTGGGTGAGGGTAAAGTCCTGGACCAACTTGGCATATGTGAATCCAACAGCCACATGCCCAAGAACAGCACTTCCAGTACTAAAATAAACATAAGGTTATACCTATTTTTATGAGAGATGATTCCTCTTCCTTACTTTTGTTGGATCTCCGTCTGGGCATTACGATTCCACAGACTGAAGTTGACTTTGCCATTAAGATCCACACTTCTAGCTCCCAAAATTTGCCAATGGAGAGTGGCTCCCGATGCCAGAACGATATAGTGCTCGTGATCTTGGGCCAAAGTTGTAGCCTGGTATGCGGGCGTCTGGTCTGAGGCAGTGCCGCCCCACACATGACCCATCAGCTCGGTATTTCCATTGAAAAAGACCAAGGGCCGAAGCTGGGAGCCCTGAACGCTGATCTCCATGCCGGCGGTAATAGAGTCCTCGCCACCCAATACATCATCGGCCGGAATATTATCCGTGCCATCATCAGAATCGCCATCGCCCACCATGGAGGCCAGTCCGGCGGTGTAGATTCCCAGTTTAAAGCTGCTGGCTTGGGCGCGACCTGCATGCAACAGGAATTCCACAGAACCGCGCTTCAAGATGCCCTGGTACACCTCCTGGGTGCTCAGCAGGGATTCATTGAAGGAGGGTGAGAGGGAAAGCTGGCGGGCAAGCACTGTGGTGAGACCTGAAGAAAGGCATAAATGTATTAACTGAAATTCTTTCAAAAATGTATATATAATTACCCTTCTGTCCCAGGACATTGTAATTGTTGACGCGACTGCGTTTAACCAACTCCGTCTTGAATAATGCCCTGAATCTCGGGCACTGTTCGGCCAACATTCTGAGCTTCTGCAGGACATAGGTCTTGATCTCGAACTGACGATCGGTAGAGGCCAAGTAGTCCAAGAGATGTCCCAACTGCTCCTGGCTAGGTCTCAGCGAAAGGATAATGTCCAAAGCCAGGGTACGAGCGGAGCTATCGAAACGGCGTCGCCGCTGATAGAAAATTCCCTCAAACTGCTGGCGATGCGAGGAATTAAAAGTGCTAACTGGGAATGCTTTCAGAGCGTGGAGAGCAGCCACCGATAGGTTGGGCTCCTCGCGACTCTGTGCCTGATCCAGCAGGGGTTCGATGGTTACTGGGTCTCGGAGATTCTGCAATGCCCGGATATACAAGGTAGGCTCCTTCGAAGTCAGTCCTTGGAGGAGGAAGGCGCGCACTTTCTCCAACAAAGGATCATTTACATCGAATTCACTCTGACGAGTTAAAGAGGCCAGGGTTTGAATGATGCTATCCACCAGTTTTTCCCTTTTTTTGATGTCTTCCAACTGAAGGAAGACCATCAAGTGTTCAACGATCATCCTTTCCGGATGGGTGGCCACCGCCAACGACTGCAAGTACTTCTCCAGCAGGTCCAACTGTTCGTCTGTGGTCTCTGCTTCTTTGTAAAGAAAACTGAAGGTGGCATTGTGGGCATCGAACGTCTGGGCAGCACCCAACAAATCCACCAACTGCGGCAACAGTTCCGAGTGCTCTTTGAGTAGCTCCAAGATTTGTTCCTGATTGGCAATGCGAGCCAGAGGGATTAGCTTGACATAAGCTAGTGCTAGTGATGATTTTCCAACATCAACAGATTGCAGTTCTTCCAGCGAGGCCTTTAGCTGTTCTTGGAGCTAAAAATAAAGGGCTTATACCATTTATTTGAAAATTTATCTCATTATTCCTTACAGTTTGCTCTTTAAGCGCGCTGATTAGTCCATCGACATCGGATTCCAGTTGGAAGACACGATTCCATTCCAGCAGGCTTTCGATGGCTGCATCTAAAGTGTCCAGACTCAGCTGCTTCACGTCCTCTGGTCCCTGGGACACATGTTGGAGGGTAAGAGTACTCTTTATCAAGCTTCCCACATCCGGCTTGGCTGTCAGAGTGAGGCGGTGTTCCTCCACAGATTCGGCTTTAAGGAGAGATCCATCTGACGATAGTTCGTAGCTGTTGAGTGCATTTGATTGCTGGGTAACTCCTAGGGCTTCCTCGGGATGATAGTTAACCCTTAGATCCCAGAGGGCACAATCTCGTTTCGTTTTCTCAATCTTCGTGGATGATTTAACATTGTAGGCCACGCGACAAAGGCCAGAAACATCCAGTTCCTCTTCGACTGGTCCATCTAATCTCAACTGCAGGAGCGAGGCGATGCCACGTTCCAAGTTCAGAATCGATTGATCTTTGCCTGTATGCGCGATAACCTTATCAGGCTGCCCCTTAACTAGACTAACGTAGAAGGGTCTGTCCGGAATGGCTGTGATGGAACGATCCTTTCCCGAAGCCAGCACTCGACTTTCGCTGATAAAGATCTCCAGTAACTGATCTTCCTGTCGGCTCCAAATCGAATTTACATGCAGAAGCGTTTCAAACAAGTAGCCTGTCTCCTGGGAGCTGGATTCCTTCCCTGCATCCTGAAGATTCACTTGATTTTGTAGCTTGAAGATCTGCTGGCTCTGGGGGGAAACCAAAAAAACACTTCCTTCGGCTGAAATGAGATTGGAACACGTCATTAGTCCATTGAATTGCTATAACTTTCACCCAGAAGCAGAGGCACACAATAATCAGCATGGGCTGAGGTTATCAACAAGTGGCCCTGCACAGTGGGTGGCACCCTTATAATTTTAAATACTTTGTGTGTTGATAAGAAAAAAGTTGGATGGAGGAGGGATTTTTAAATTCTGAGATAAAACTAAGGTTCTTGGACTAAAAATAAAGTTAATTATTAGCACATTGACCTTCAAAATTTATAATTTTTCACAGCTTTTGGTTCCACAGTCCAAAATCAGCTGCTCCATTAGGAATGTGTGTCAGATAAAAGTTCTCTCCATTTTCTTTCTTTGTGGTCTTCATTGTTGTTACCAATATTTTGAGTGTATGTGTGGGCTTAAACGCCACCGTAAACAGTTCATTCAACCTTACTTAACCACTTTCTACGTGCCTGGCATTCGCTTAAGCCCACTTACCCAATTTATCATTAAATATTTGGCACTATAACTTACCGAAGCATCCCAGAAAGAATGCCAACAGGAGCAGACAGTGCACCTTATTTGAGTTTTGGTGCTTGTTCATTGTGTTTGCTGTTGCTTTTGTTCGACTTTATACTTATTCTTCTTATTCTTAGGTTAGACTAGGCTTGATTATTAAAATTTAATTCATTGATAAGGGATAGTTGATAAGACGAGTTGCCGAGCCGGCTTCCGATGAACTTTTAAACGAAACCAAAATAAAGCTGACCATCAAATAGAGATGGTAAAACATCGATAACTTTTTGCCGTCGAACCATGTTCGAGTTCGTTTGCAACCAGATTCCTCGAAGAATGGTCACATTCTTAAAACATACATTTTTAAAAAACTTAATAAATTTAATTCTTTTGTTACATTATTGGAACATACATTACATTGTACATATAAAATGATCTGCATCAATACTGGAGTAAATGTGACCCTCAGAGATCATAAAGTCCAAAATATTGCTGGAAAAAAGAGTATAATTAGAAAAGAAACTTAAACTATAATTATTTAATCATTTTCTTACTTTAATTCGGAACTGCTAATGTGGGAGAACTTGGCCTTAAGCTCCTTGCGACTGATTCCCTCCTCTGAGACATTGCCCTTTATGGCCTGGAATACAGCCTGCTGCTTGGGATCCAATCCGCTGACGATGGCGTTGCTCTGCGAAGCTGTGAAGTCGGCGATGGAGCCCGCTCCTCCATATGAGGTACCACCAGTTGCTCCACCCTTGCTCTGGTAGTCCTCCGCCTTGTAGCGGGCATTGAGCACTTCCAGGAGGTGGGTGCACACTTCATTGGGATCCAAAATGGGCAGCAGCTTAAAGACCATTAGTGTCTTTTGGCCAGCCTGGGACCGGGTTGTACCGTACACCTTAACGTAGTTGTTGACCATCACTTCGGGAGCCTTGAGAGTGTCGCCTTCTTCCAACCAGTAGTGCGCATCGATCCTGCCGCTGTGGTCCTCCAAGGTGTAGGTAATCTTCGTTGAAGAAGTCTCGATGTTTCGTACAATTCCCACCACACAGGCCATTGCATACTGCATGCCAAACATCTCGATGTTGCCCTCAGGGGCGTCCACAATCTGTTTCACGACCAAGGGGACTATTCCCTAATAGTAAATGTTTAGAAATATGAATAATTTATTCCTAAAATACTCATTATTTTACCAACCTCTCCCTTTTGACTGCTGGCGGCTCCAGCTGGTGCTGTCTGGGTGGCATTGAAGTCTCCAACTAGAAATAGTTTAAAACAGTTGATAATTTGCTTCATTTTAGGAGGAATCTTTTACTTACAAGAATCATTCATTTTGTTTGGCTTTTATTGATCAGGAATAGGGTTTTTTAAATTAATTTCACAAAGTCCCGTAGTAAACAACAAAACGCGCGAAAATTTGCAATAATGTGACCTGTTGGAAAAGTATGTGAAAATACCAGCGATTTGGTATTTTTCAAAATACTACCTACTATGTAGAATACCGACTTAATAGAGTTTCAAATTTTGAAAAGTTTTTTAAAGGTATTTTAAATTTAAATAATTGTAAACAGAATAATTAGTTGCTAGATTTTAAGCCTAACCTATTTTTTTTACCCATTAAATTTCAAGTAATTACCATTTCAGCCCCCCCTTATTTGTGATTCAAGGATTCAAAAGCTTAGATTCATATGTTGAATTATTTCGAAAAAAGGAAACTTTTTTTAAATTTGAAAGTTAAGCTTTAATTTATTTGTTTTATATATTTATGTTATTATTATATAAACAAATTCTTGTTTTGTTTTAATTTTAATTTTAAAATACTTACTTTATTTTCTGTTGAAAGTAGAATCCTGTTGAAACTTTTACATTTTAAATCCTTATTTTCCACAAAAGCTTAAAAAAGGAATTTAAAGAATAACTCTAAGTGTTTGTATGCAGACATTGATCTAAATGGTATAGTTATTTGGATTTCTTATCAAGATTTGTGCAACTGATTATGGTTTCTGTGGCAACTTCGGTGTGCGAATTTTTTTTATTAGTAGATGAGACTCTATTTTTTAATTGGTTCATATCAACCTTCATTAATTGATTTTAATAATTGATAAAGTACTTCTTAAATAATGTAGAAATATCAATTCATTAATAGTATCAATTAAAGGCAAGGACTCAAATTAATCTCCATGTTTAATAAATTATGATTTATAAGCTTTCCAAACTTCAATTTAATGGTCACTAATCCCCCCCGGGATTAGATTACTGATTTTTGGCTCGTGCGAGATATGGCAGATGGTACATATGGTCAGATAACTATTATATGGCTACATAGCGCATATAATGCATGATCACGCACTTTATAAGCTCCTAAGAAAGCCAATTCGGCTCAGAATGTTTTCTGCCTTTGGAAATCACGAATGCCAATTGAATTGTGATCGAAAATGGCTATAACTTCCTTAATCCTCGGCCTGGTGGCCATCGGTCTCTTCTACAAGTTCATGACATGGAACTTTGATTACTGGATCAAGCGAAAAGTGCCGGGTCCTTCGCCCAAAGTCCTTTCGATATTTACGAATTTTTCAATGTTTAAAAGACATCCTTTGTATGGTCTGATTAATGTGTACAAGTGAGTGGTTATCATTAGTCTTAATATTAGTGTTTTTAAAGAGAAAAATTTAACAAAATCTATGTTTAAAGTTTAAAATTAAAAGAAGCTTAACATAAAATATTTTTATTTAATTTTTTTTAGTCAGTACAAGGAAAAATACGATGCGGTGGGTCTTTTCGGTGGTCGACTTCCGCAATTGCTGATAATAAATCCAGAACTGGCTCGTCGTGTTTTTGTGGCTGATTTCCGGAGCTTTCATGACAACGAGGTGGCCAAATTTTTGGACGAAAAATCGGACTATATATTCGCCAATAATCCTTTTTCCCTGACTGGAAAAGATTGGAAGGACCGTCGGGCGGAGGTTACTCCTGGCCTCACAATGGGAAGGGTGAGTTTGATTAATTTTTAAGAGTGATAAAAAATAATTATAAAAATCCCTTAAAATATGATAAATCTAGATAAAAACAGTGTATCCTGTCACAAATAATGTTTGCCAAAAAATGAGTGAATGGATCACCAAGCAGATACGTCTTGGATCCTCGGGAACTAATGGAGTTGATGCCAAGGATGTAAGTAGAAAATATACCAAAAAAATGTTTAATAAAAATTATTTCTATTAATAATAAAATAAACAACTAATACTTCTAGTTAAGTCTTCGTTTTACCTCCGAAATGGTTACCGATTCTGTTTTGGGCCTCAGCGCCGAAAGCTTCTCGGACAGCCCCACACCGGTCATGTCCTACATCAAGGAAATGTTTGTGCAGCCTTGGTCCTTTATACGATCCTCCATGCTGGTCAGCTCCTTTCCCCTGCTGAGCCACCTGATCAAAGTCTCCTTTGTCCCGAGGCACGTGGAGCAGTTTTTCCAAGGGCTGATGGCCAGAGCGATAGAGGCACGTCGATCTCAAATGGCCGATGATAAGAAGTTCCAGCGGACGGACTTGCTCGAGTACATCATGCAGCTGGCCGAGAAGAAGGACCTGGACACCCGACAGCTTCTGACCCGCATGATGTCCTTTCTGCTCGGTGGCATAGAGACGACGGGTGGGGTACTGGCCCACATGTTGCTGCTCCTGGGGCGCCATCAGGAGGCACAGCAGCGCCTGCGAGAGGAGATTCTACCGCGTCTGCGGAAAGGCATCATTCCCTTTGACGAGATCAACAACTTGCAATTTTTAGATGCCTGTATGCAGGGTGAGTTCAAGTCTGGAAGAAAATGGAATGTCCTTGTTACTAACACACAACCCTTCAGAATCTATTCGCCTTTTTCCGCCCTCCTCCACCTCCAGCAGGCTCTGCACCGAGACCATTGAGTTGCCCAACAAGGATGGCCCCAACTTTGTGGTAGACAAGGGCACCACCGTCATTGTGCCCCTTTATTGCTTTATGCAGGACGAGGACTACTTCCCAGATCCACAGGCTTTTAAGCCGGATCGCTTCATGGAGCCGGATGCCGCCAAAAAGTATCGGGAAAGTGGTGTTTTTATGGGGTTCGCAGATGGTCCTCGAATCTGTATTGGTTAGTAAAAGGATATATTGTCCTTGGAAAAATATTATTGACGTTTTCCCCACAGGCATGCGTTTCGCGACAGTTCAGGTAAAGGCAGCCATTGTGGAGATCCTCTCCAATTTCAATGTCCGAGTCAATCCCAAGACCCGCAAGGATAACGAATTCGAGCCCATCGGAGTCCTTACAGACCTGCGAGGAGGCGTGTGGCTTGATTTTGAAAAGCTGCATTGAAGTTATTAGTACAAAGTACTCTCTCGAAAAAATTAGTCAATAAGTTAATTAATAAAAAATGAATATTAAAGTAAAACCTTATTAAAGAAAGGTTCTTGTTATTATTTTGCCAAAAAGTGTGCTTTATTTTAATGTTAATCACATTTCATGTTCTTATCTCCATGGAGTGTGTTTGTATTTCATCATAGTATAAGTAGCTTTCAATTTTTATGGCTTTGATTTCCATTTCCTATTGATTTAATGGGCTTGTATTTGTACTTCATTAATGAGTTTCTTATATAATATTTCACATTTTATTTTAATCTCTTTTATTTCTTGAGTTGGCCTACAACTAATTAACTCTTGAAACTGAACCGATTTTTATTTTAAATGGCACTGGTAAGAGATATATTATATATATTAGAGATATATGTATATGTTAGATTTATCTATCACTCTTTTTTTTGGGCTGGGTTTCGAGATTGGCAGATGGACAAATATCCTTATTCAAACATTCCCTGCAATTTGGTTTCACGGGAGTACAGATAGTCTGTCCGAATCCCACGAAAAGATGATTAACCTCCGACCAAAGACTATGCGGTAGCCACTTTTCCAAAGCAACTCTGGTTTGTTCCGGTTCTTTGGTGGGCCTTGCCACCCATTTCAAGCGATTGGACAAGCGATGCACGTGGACATCCACCCCGATTCCTGTGACTTTGTTCCAGGCCACTGCCATACATATGTGTGCCATCTTTGGCCCAACTCCTGGAAGAGCTTTGAGTTCCTTGGGATTGTCGGGTATATCCGAATCGTACTTATCTATGAGTATCTGCACAGTTTGCTTGAGGTATTTAGCTTTGTTCTGAAATATAATTAAAGTTAAGGATAGAATGAATATTTTTTTAAGTTTGTAAAACCTTATAAAAGGAAACGGGATACAGTAGACCCTCCAGATCTTCCACCGGCATATCCTTCAAGGTTTGCGGGCAAAGGTTTCGATCTTTAAGGCGAATCATGGCCTCGAATGTAGTTTGATCCTTGGTTTGGCTGGAAAGCATTAGGGCCACCAAGTTTTGAAAACGTTGGGTCTGTGGTATAAAATAAATAGAGGTGTTTTTAAATTCTAATAATTTACGCAATTAGTAGACATGGTTAGCTAATACAGTGAGTTTAAAAGGCTACTAAAAGGCTTCTTGATAAAAGATATTGGATCTCAAGGTATAAAGCATTAGGTACTTAAGATATGTTTGATAATCAAACCAAAATTACAACTATTATCATTACATCTTCTTTTTACTAAAACCAATTATTTGGTTAATTTATCAAAAGTAAAGAGCTCTTTAGTTTTAAAATTTCATATTGTTTGGTCGAATTGCGACAGCAAACAATAATGGTATAAACAATAAGATATATGAGGGTGCAATCGAGATTAGAGCGTTATCTTTAATTGGTACCCCAACAACGTCCATTATAGGAAAGGTGAGGCGTATTCTTCTCTCTGAGAAGTGGGTGCCGGTACAGTGCTAGTGTCACTATCTCCGAGAGGAACCCAGTCAGAGTAGTGCCCAGTAAGCTCTCCGGGAACCGGATCCAATCAACAGCTACAAATAGAGACCATTAGGTGGGAAGGCAGTTCAGAAGCTTCGCGGCAATCGCGTTAAACGGTGCAGACGGAGAACAATTGAAACAAAAATGGTTCTGATTACTCTGGCCCTGACCCTGGCGGTCGTGGGGCTCATCTATTTACTTTTGACATGGAACTTTGACTACTGGAGGCGACGAAGGGTTCCGGGACCGAAGCCCAAAATACTTGTAGGAAACTATCCCAACATGTTTTCGATGAAACGACACCTTATATACGATCTGCAAGACATCTATAAGTAAGTTCGAAGCTTTTCAATAAAAGGCGGACGAACTATGATGTCATAATGTGCATTTATTCCGATTAGAAAATACAAAAATAAATACGACGCAGTGGGCGTATACGGAGGCCGACTACCTCAGTTACTGGTTATTAATCCAGAGTTGGCCCACCGTGTTTTTGTCTCCGATTTCAAGCATTTCCATGACAATGAGGTGGCCAAGTTTATAGACGAAAAAACCGACTTTATTTTCGCCAACAATCCGTTCTCACTGACCGGCGAGCAATGGAAGGAAAGACGTGCGGAAATAACTCCCGGCCTAACCATGGGAAGGGTAAGTTTTTAATATATTTTTATACATGAAGTGAAAAATGAGCAAAAAATCTGAAAAATATTTTGTCTCAGGATTTTGATGCAGAATGGTGGAGAATAGGCTCAGAAATCGTTTTAGGTACTCCGCTTGAGAATCGGATGAATATTGGGGAAGATATAGTCATCACAGTGGACCATATAGGGAAAAACCCCATTTTCAAGGGATCCCATCAGGAAAAATGGACAAAAAATCTGAAAAATATTTTGTCTCAGGGTTTTGATGCAGAATGGTGGGAAATCGACCCAGAAATCGTTTAAGGTACTCCGCTTAAGAATCGGATCAGGATCAGAAAAGATATAGCCATCACAGTGGGCCATATAGGGGAAAATACCATTTTCTAGGATCCCATCAGGAAAAATGGACAAAAAATCTGAAAAATATTTTGTCTCAGGGTTTTGATGCAGAATGGTGGGAAATAGGCCCAGAAATCGTTTAAGGTACTCCGCTTGAGAATCGGGTGAAAATTGGGGAAGATACAGCCATCACAGTGGGCCATATAGAGGAAAACCCCATTTTCAAGGGATCCCATCAGGAAAAATGGACAAAAAATCGAAAAAATATTTTGTCTCAGAATTTTGATGCAGAATGGTGGAGAATAGGCCCAGAAATCGTTTAAGGTACTCCGCTTGAGAATTGGATGAATATTGGGGAAGATATAGCCATCACAGTGGACCATATAGGGGAAAACCCCATTTTCAATCGAATTGATCAGGAAAAATGGACAAAAAATCTGAAAAATATTTTGTCTCAGGGTTTTGATGCAAAATGGTGGGAAATCGATCCAGAAATCGTTTAAGGTACTCCGCTTAAGAATCGGATCAGGATCAGAAAAGATATAGCCATCACAGTGGGCCATATAGGGGAAAATACCATTTTCAAGGATCCCATCAGGAAAAATGGACAAAAAATCTGATAAATATTTTTTCTCAGGGTTTTGATGCAGAATGGTGGGAAATAGGCCCAGAATCCGCTTGAGAATCGGATCAGGATCAGGAAAGATAAAGCCATCACAGTGGGCCATATAGGGAAAAACACCATTTTAAAGGGATCCCTTTAAAGGGATCAGGAAAAATGGATAAAAAATCTAAAAAATATTTTCCTTCACGAAAAAATTTTATAAGGATCGTTCCTATAGGAATATAGGAATCTGCCATATAACCGAACAATTGGAAAAAGTATCTGGTAAAAATTTGCGGGTATTTGCGATAAATATTCAACTGCTATATGAACTTAGGCTCCGCCCGAAGATAGCTTTCCTCTCTTGTTTAAACATCCCAAAGTAAGGACTAATTTAAAATTATAAATAAAATTTAGATAAAAACTGTATATCCAGTGACGAATATTGTTTGCAAACAACTGAGTGAGTGGGTGACAAAGCAAGTGCGACTTGGAGCTTCGAAAAGTGGTGGAATTGATGCCAAGGATGTAAGTAAATGATATAACAGGAGAGTCCTTATACTAATCTATTAAACATGATTTATTTAGATGAGTCTACGCTTCACCTCCGAAATGGTCACCGACTGTGTTTTGGGCTTGAAAGCCAATAGTTTCTCGGAGAAGCCGACTCCTATAATGTCGCATATCAAGGACCTCTTTAATCAGCCATGGACCTTTATGATTTTCTTTATCCTGACCAGCACTTTTCCTCTACTGAGTCGCTTGATTAAATTGCGATTCGTGCCAATAAAGGTGGAGGAGTTCTTCGTCGGTCTGATGTCGACGGCTATTGAGGCTCGCAAGGCACAGCTAGCCGGTGGAAAGAAATTTGAGCGAACGGACTTCCTCGACTTTATCCTCCAGCTGGCCGATAAGAAGGATCTGACTACCCGCCAACTCCTGGCTCGCACGATGACTTTCCTGCTGGATGGATTCGAGACTACGGCAGGAGTGCTAGCCCATATGTTGCTGTTCCTGGGCCGCAATCCCAAGGTACAGCAGCGCTTGAGGGAGGAGATTCTACCTCGTCTGCGAGACGGCATCATTCCCTTCGAAGAACTCAACGATTTGCCGTATTTGGATGCTTGCCTGAACGGTACGAACAATTTTTTAAATTAATTTTTTGTCAATAACTAGCATAATATCCAATTTTTAGAAACTCTCCGGCTCTTCCCACCCGCCTTCATGTCAAACAAGTTGTGCACTGAAACCATTGAGTTGCCCAACAAGGATGGTCCCAACTTTGTGGTCGAAAAGGGCACCACAGTGATTGTTCCGCACTATTGCTTCATGCAGGACGAGGAGTTCTTTACCGACTCGCAGGCTTTCCAGCCTGAACGATTTTTGGAACTCGATGCCGCCAAAAAGTACAAAGACAGGGGCGTTTTTATGGGATTCGGCGATGGTCCTCGAATTTGCATTGGTAAGAAATGAATTTTTAATTAACCAAATTCAACTAAATAACGTTTTCTTTTAATGCCAGGTATGCGTTTTGCCACGGCCCAGATCAAGGCTGCCATAGTGGAGCTCCTCACCAATTTCAACGTCCGGATCAATCCCAAGACCCGCAATGACAACGATCTTGAGGCTACTGCCATCCTGGCTAGCCTGCGAGGAGGAATTTGGTTGGATTTGGAATCGCGTCAGTAAAATATTCTAAGTTTTTAGTGTAACTTTCATAAAGACTCAGTTGGATTTAATATTATTAATCCGATTGTTATTAAGAAACTGTTTTTCTTTTCTGTGTGTTTAGTGTTTGTATCGTTAATATTTGTATACTCTTTTAAATAAATCAAAAGCAAGCAAACAAAGTTACACTTCGAACGGATAATTTTCTTAAATTTATTTAGCCCCTTGGAAAAATAGGTATCTCTTGGCGATGGGTATGTCATAGCCAATATGCATCCTATTCCTAAGAGGAATACCTTAACCGCTTTGTAGGACGATTCTTAAAAAGATTACCATAACTCATTAGTAGGTAAAATCTACGTCAATCTGCTCTAAAAATCTATGAAATAGAATTGTGTAAGTACACGCTCTGGTCTATTGCGTCTTACCTTTGCATCGGCATTTGTATCGGCACATTTATGACATCCCATGGTGTCCACTGGAGCAGTCATGGAGTTTCTCATGGTGCGAATGTTTACCAGGTGCTGATTCCACAGTGGATTAGGTGCATCCACTTCAGGGTTTACTTGTGGTTCCACTCGAGGTTCCATTTCCTTTTTAATTTTTTCAACCATTTCCTGAATGATTTCCTGTTTAATGAGAGGATCATTCTCCTTTTTAATTTGATTAATCCTTATGGGTGAGTCCACGATATCGGGAATCACTTTACACTTGACCACCACAGCTGAACCCACTGCAATTCTGGACAATGGTTCCTCTTTTTTGATTTTCGGCGGCACTCGAGTTGGTGATATGGGTTCGGATTTGATATTTATAATCTTGTGGGGCTCTCCATTTAAGTTTCGCTGCTTTCGAGATGCAACGGGGGAGAAGTATAAAGATGTTGAGGACGAGGCCTGCACAAGATCCTCTATATCCTTTAATGATCAAGAGTTACATACATGGTTTTTTTTGTAAATAAGAATGCATACATGTATCGATTGCCGCTTACCATTACATTATGAGCAGAATTCTGTCTGATTATTATTTTTGTTGGCGTGATGACATCTCCCTTTTTGGCCAATTTGTTGGCTAACGACAGCTTCTTGACGTTCTTAGCCATATTTTAAATTTATTGAAGTATTCGTGTTTACATTTGATAGTTGCTTAGATTTTTTGCAGTGTGGCTGCAGATTTTTCTGAAAAATACTGAATACTTACGGGCTCTCAAGAAAAGGCGGCAAATTCAAATTGTTTTTAATGTTTAAAATAATCTTTCGATAATGTGCCTTCGTAAATTATACTTTATAATTGCTAATTGTTTCATAATTGTGTCATATGCCTCAGTAATTAGCAAATAACCTTTTTCCAGATCAGTTTTTAGTTTTAGTCTAATTTTTACCGTCGATATATAAGCATAAAAATTCACGATGGATATATTTTTTTTTCAAGTGAATATTTTTAAAATTATTTTGATCTTTTATTTAGCTGCACAGGTAAAGCAATAGCAAATAAATAAAACGGGTATTAAAAGCATATATTACTTAAATATATTTCATACTTTCAGATCTCTGCCAAAATTGAGTTTACCAACATGAAATGCACATCCTTTGACAAAGATTTTAGCGACTTTGAGTATTGCTATATAAAATCCATAAATAGGACCTACAAATACATTTCATTGAAAGTGAAGTTGTACAAAGTACCAATAACAAATATCACTGTTTGTATAAAAATAAGCCATTAGCTGTTCAGAAGTCAATAAGTCATGAAAATTCCATCCATTAGGTTAATTTTTCGTTTATGAAGCGCACGAATGGCTATAAACCATTTCTCTACAACATTACTGCGGATGCCTGCAAGTTTCTGAAAAATCCAAAATCGAATCCGGTTTTAATCTATATGTATGGGTTGTTCAAAACCTACTCCAATATGAACCACACGTGCCCCTACGATGTGAGTTTAAAACTTTAAAAACTTTACTCATTATTATTTATCATTTTTGTTCTTTTCAAGCATGACGTTATTTTGGAAAAGCTTTATACGGATTTTATCAATAATCAGTTCACAAAAATTTTGCCCTTTCCCGAAGGTGATTATTTGTTCCAAACTCATTGGATGGCGTATGGTATTCTACGAGCCACTGTAAAGGTGTACGTCACTTTAAATTAAATTGAATTTTATGAATTGTTCATATAATAGTAAAATGTGAATGTTGAAATCATATTTTCAGATTCAGAAAAGTATATAAACGTAATACCTGAAATCTAAAATATTTACTGAATAGATATGTGTTCTAACAAAGAGGGGAAAAATTAAATAGCTTTCGAATAGAACATTTTTATTGGACAATTGTGATTTTAATAGTCTTGAGGATAAATATCTAGTTTGAACTTTGAGCTCAAAACATAATTTATCCAACTACTTAATTACTTATTTTTAATTGCTTATTATATATATTTATTGAATGCTTCATTTCACATCAAAAACCTTTTTAAAATCATTTTCCGGTTTCAGTCTATTTTAAACAGACGTTAAATAAAGATATAAAAATCGTGTAAAAGATGATATATTGGCGAGTTACTATTTTTCAAGTTTTTTTGATATTTTATTTGGTAACAAAGGTAAGAAATAACAAATAAACTAATTATTATAATCGGATATTATAATATCATCTTTCTTAAAAATTCAGATCTCTTCTAAAGTGGAGTTTACAAACCTGAAATGCACATCTCTAGACACAGATTTTACCGACTTTGATTACTGTTATATAAAATCCATCAATAGGACCTACAAATACATGTCATTAAAAGTGAAGTTGTACAAAGTACCCATAACAAATGTCACCGTTTGTATAAAAATTACGATATTATCTATTCAAAAGTCATTAAAATTCTCATCTATTAGGTAAATTTTTCGATTATGAAGCGGTCAAGTGGCTACAAGCCCTTTCTCTATAATATTACTGCGGATGCCTGCAAGTTTCTGAAAAATCAAAAATCGAATCCAGTTCTAGGCTATATGTACGGATTGTTCAAAAGTCACTCTAATATGAACCACACATGCCCCTTCGATGTGAGTTTTAAAATTTAAACAAATGTATTTTAGTTTTTGAAATTTGTATTCTTTTTAAGCATGATATTGTTGTGGAAAAGCTTTCTACGACTTTTATTCATCATCAGGTCACTAGAATTTTGCCTTTTCCCGAAGGCGAATATTTGTTCAAAACTAAATGGATGGCATATGGCATTCTTCGAGCTTCTGTAAATGCTTATTGCAGTTTGACCTAATTAAAGTTAAATGAAAAACTTTAATCAATTTATTTTATTTATTAAAATAATAAATATTTTGGTGTTACTTTGGTTAAATTATTCCGACTTGTTGAGCAGTACAAGTGAAATTGTACCAAAAACCAATATCAGTGTTTTTTTAATAAAATGGCATTACCTTTTCATAAGTCATTAAAATTCCATCCGATAGGTTAATTTTAGGTTTATGAAGCGCACGAATGGCTATAAACCATTTTTCTATAATATTACTGCGGATGCCTGCAAATTTCTGAAAAATACAAAATCGAATCCGGCTTTGTCCGGTTGTTAAAAACCTACTATAATATAAACCACACGTGCCCCAACGATGTGAGTTTAAAACTTTAAAAACTTTACTCATTATTATTTTTTTTTTCTTCTTAAGCATAACGTTATTTTGGAAACGCTTTATAAGGATTTTATTAATAATCAGTTCACAAAAATGTTGTCCTCTTGCGAAGGTGATTATTTGTTTCAAACTCATTGGATGTCATATGGAATTCTACGAGCCACTATAAAGGTGTACGTTACTTTAAATTAAATTAAATTTTATAAGCTGTTCATAAAATAGTAAAATGTAAATGTTTAAATGATTTTTTCAGATCAGAAAAGTGTATAAACGTATTACCTGAATTACAAAATATTTACTGCATAGGTATGTACCTGTTCTAACAAAGAGGGGGGAAATTAAATTGATTTCGAATTTATTGTATACTTAATTTCACATCAAAAAAACTTTTAAAATCGCTTTCCGGTTTTAGTCTATTTTTGACGGTCGTTAAATAAAGACATAAAAAAATCGTATAAAAGATGATTTATTGGCGAGTAAATATTTTTCAGTTTATTTTGATATTTTTTTTAGTAACAAAGGTAAGCAATAACAAACTAATTGTTATAATCGGATATTATATGAATGTCTTAAACATCCAGATCTCTTCTAAAATTGAGTTTACAAACCTGAAATGCACATCTCTGGACAAAGATTTCACCGACTTTGACTATTGTTATATAAAATCCATCAATAGGACCTACAAATACGTGTCATTAAAAGTGAAGTTGTACAAAGTACCCATAACAAATGTCACCGTTTGTATTAAAATTACGATATTATCTATTCAAAAGTAATTAAAATTCTCATTCATCAGGTAAATTTTTCGTTTATGAAGCGATCAAGTGGCTACAAGCTCTTTCTCTATAATATTACTGCGGATGCCTGCAAGTTTCTGAAAAATCCAAAATCGAATCCAGTTCTAGGCTATATGTACGGATTGTTTAAAAGTCACTCTAATATGAACCACACATGCCCCTTCGATGTGAGTTTTAATATGTAAACAAATGTATTTAGGTTTTGAAAATTTTGGTTCTTTTAAGCATGACCTTGTAATGGAAAAGGTTTCTTCGGATTTTATTAATAATCAGCTCACGCAAATGTTGCCCTTTCCCGAAGGCGAATATTTGTTCAAAACTAATTGGATGGCATATGGCATTCTTCGAGCTTCTGTAAACGCTTACGTTACTTTGACCTAATTTAAGTAAAAGGCAAAATATTAATCAATTTATTTTATTTAATAAAATAATAAATATTTGGGTGTTACTTTGGTTAAATTATTCCGACTTGTTGCGCAGTTTACTTTCATGAACCTGAAATAATTTATTATCAGTTATGAATTTTATTGTTCAACTGACTCACCTGTAGAGCCGCTCTGAAAAGATGATCGAAGCCGGATCGACCCGTTTCGATAACCATACTATAGAAGACTCTTCGTGTTGATTGGGTCAAAAGTTCGTAGGGTGAGCCGAACTCTACGAGGTTGCCAGCATCCAAAACCATGACCTTGTCCGAGTCGATGATCGTGTTCAATCGATGAGCTATGGTCAGGACAGTGCAATCCTTGAACTTCCTGCGGATGGTGGACTGAATCAGGGCATCCGTTTGGGGGTCCACATTGGCCGTGGCCTCGTCCATCACCAGGATGCGGTTTTCACGGAGAATGGCCCTCGCCAGGCAGACCAACTGCCTCTGGCCGACGCTGTAATTGCCACCTCCTTCGGCAACCAGACTCTCCAGACCAGTTGGCAGCTCAGCGACCTCTTCTTTCAAATGCACCTGGTGAGCAAAGTCGGTTTCGATATTAGAATTTATGGTCTTCGTTAGGAGCTTACCTCTTCCAATGCCTCCCACAACTTGGCATCCGAATATTGATCGAAGGGATCCAAGTTGTATCGCATAGTTCCCGAAAAAAGCACAGGTTCCTGTGGAATTATCGATATCTTACTCCTCAGATCGTGCAAACCCATTTGTCCGATATCCTGGTTATCAATCACTAAGGATCCATCATTGTAGGACAGCCTGAATAGGGCGTTGATGAGCGACGACTTTCCAGCTCCTGTTCTACCCACAATGCCTATTTTCTCTCTCGGTTGGATTACGAACTTCAAAGATTTTAGGACGTTGTCGGTTTTGGGATCGGGATTGTATCTTAAACTTAGGTGTTCGGCTTTTATTTGACCTTGCTGTGGCCAATTCTTAGGGGGCTGCTTTTCCTTTGGAGACTCAAACTCACCTTCGGACTTGAGATTCCTGTACTCCATGACCCTTTCCACCGACGTCATGGAGTTCTCCAGCTCAGCCGATTGTCTCATGCCCCACTGGACAGTACCGGTCATGGACATTGCCTGGGTGATGGCCAGTCCAATTTGGCCGGGATTGTCCAGCGGAGGATTAAAGTAACTGGTTATAGTCACCGATACCACATAGGCCACACAGAACAGATCCAGGTAGTAGCCAAAGGCCCGACTGGTGGACAGGAATGTGTAGTATCCCGAGCTGTGAAGGTCCTGGTAGTTGTCATACTCCTTGGTCAGCAGCTCCTGGGCGCCCAGTGCCCGGATAGTGGGCAGCCCGTTCAAGGTGGCACTAAAATGCGAGTACATCGGTGATCTGGCCACCGCCTCCAATCTCTTTACATCCCGCGAAGTGCTCAGGTAGAACTTTCTCAGAAAGTGGAAGGCCACGAACATCGTGAGCGTGTTCACCAAATACCAGGGATTGGTAATGCAAAGCACGCAGATAACACCACTGATTGTCAGGAATATCTGCACACAATCGAGCAGCACGGCGGGCAGGACTTCGTCCACTTGCCCCAGGTCCATGGCGAATCGATTGAGTATTCTGCCCGAGGGATTCGAGTGGAAAAAGTACAGAGCTGTGCGGGAAACTCCCTGGAACATGGAGTTATGCAACTGCGTGGAAGAGTGCATCGCCATGCTGAAGAACAAGACGGTCCGGATGAGGGCGAAGATCACCAGGGCAACATTGATTCCCGTAAATATGTAGATGTCCAGGACGGTTGAGGAGTCGTTGTTCTTGACCCTAATGAAGAAAATTTTTAATAATTTAAATTTATATTCTATTTTTACTCCACTTACCAATAGGAAACAAAGTAATCCCCACCAGATGCAAGAATCTGAGTGCCAAGACAGAAGAAAACAACCAAGACGAAGAGAAACCAACCTGATCCAGCGGCGAAATACTTTTTATACATGCCGAGGCCAATTTTTTCGTTGGAACGTGTTTCCTGGAGGGGCTGATTGGTTTCCTCCATAACAGAGTCCTGGCCAGAGTCCACAGAAGAGACACTGTTCCTGCTCTGCCGACTACTCTGACGCGAGTAATTGGATTTGCTGTCGTTGACTGACTTATCATCGTCCTCGGAAGCATCTTTCTCTTCTTGGGTCTGCTGGGCCAGGAGCTGAGCAAAATCCTGGCCACTTTTCAGCATTTCTTCGTAGCTACCGATGGCTGTTATACGTCCCTTGTCCATAATCACTATGAGATCTGCATGCTCAAGGAACTGCAGTTGATGGGTAACCAGGATGACCAGCTTGTCCCTGAGATAGCCTCGCATGCACTCCTCGAACAAGTGTCGTCCCACATGGGTGTCCACGGCGCTCAAAGGATCGTCGAGCAGATATATATCCGCCTGCCTGTAGACGGCTCTGGCCAGGCTGATCCTGGCTCTTTGGCCACCGGATAGTCCTGCTCCACGTTCGCCCACCAGTGTGTGATCACCCTGGAGCAGTTCTAGATCCCTCTCCAGGGCACACTTTCTTATGACACTGCGATAGCGGTGCTTGTCCATGGGCAGGCCAAACAGGATGTTGTCCCGAATGGAGGCATTGAACAGCCAGGGTTCCTGGGAGGCATAGGACAAGCTACCCTCCAGCTTAACACTTCCCATTTCAGGCGGAAGCTCTCCTAGAATAGCCTGGATCAGGCTTGACTTCCCGGAGCCCACAGGCCCAATGACAGCCACCAATTGAGGGGGCTTAAGAGTGATGTTTATATTATCCAAGACCGGTTCTGCATGTTCGTGACTCCAGTGGGCTCGGAAAGATTTTAGTTCCACCAGAGATTCCTTAGCTGATATATCCTTTTTGTCGGCCACTGCCCGGACTCCTGATTCATCTCGCATCATGAATGCTTGGATTCTTCTTAGGGTTACTAGCATTTCGGCAAACTGGGACATTCCACTGGGAAAGAACTTGCTCACCGTACGTCGCAGGATGTTGTAGAAGGCTGTCACGGAGAAAGCCTTCTCGGCAGTCAGCTCGCCGCCCATCAGGACGAAGCCCAGAAGACTAACGAATATGGCGATCCTGCCCAGAGTTATTTCAAACGAGAGCAGAGTCCCTCGAATGTAGTTCACCTTCCGAATGGTGCTCATTTCGCTGCGTCGCAGTTGCTCTATGACCTTGCCAAATGGCTTCTCCCAGGTGTACATTTTAATCACCTGTATTCCGGATATAATCTCGTTCATCATCCTTACCCTCTGATCGGTTCTCAGGGCGGTTTGTAATCTTAGCTTTGAGGTAAGCCGGCTGAGGTATGTTTGGAAGGGCAGATACAGTAATAGTATTCCAATCCCGTAAAGGGAAGCTACGCCAATTTGTTGGTAAAGAAAATATGAGGATATCAGTAGCTCCAGTGGTCCCAGCCACAAGAAGTGAAAGTGTATAAGAGCCCGATCGAATCGGCCCAGATCATTGGAAATAAGGTTAACCACCTGGCCCGTGGTTGTGTCTCCCAAGGCAGTTCGACTCAAACGGAGGGCTTTCCTGTAGATGGCAGTGCTCACTGCCACTCGCATTTTCATGGCCAGATGCTGGGGATTAAATTAAAATTTTTAAATATATTTATATCTTATATATTTCTTACTACTTACCATCATTCCCATCATAAACGGATGAAGGAAAACCACACCAAGCAGGAAGGCCAATACCAAAGTAATCCCATAGATTTGAGCCATTGTTCCATCGCCATTTCCATTGGCAGTGAATTCGGATATCAAAGCTCCCAAAATTAGAGGTAAAGTAGCTCTGTTATGAAAAAAATAAACGTTAATTAGGATTCCCTCAAACACCTAGCCGTTTCTATACTTACTTTGTTCCCAATTCCAATATACCGATCAAAACTCCAGATATAAAAAGACGCCATCCGAATACCTTCAGTATAACCTTTATAATGCTTGGCTCCTTTTTGGGTTTATCCTTGCAGGACTTAACCTCTGCCTGCCAAGTCTCAAAGAATATATCGCCCAAGGTTTCAGCCTTATGTCCTTTTAAGGCCTGATATAGGTCTGTGGGTTGTAAAGTCTTCTGTCTTCCTTTGAAAAGGACGGGCAACGCGAAGCTGTTTGTAAATAATATTATTATTAAATTATTGTTTACAATTGTTAGCATAGGTTTTAGTTGAAGGCTTTCCAAACATGAAGGTAAAATTGTTTATCTGAACTAGAGATAACCAAATGTGACAGAAGTGATCTATAATGTGGCATCTCTTATCTTCTGATAACATTATCATATTTTCCGGGAGGAACACTATCAGATAAGATTTGCGATTTTTCTTCTAAAAAAATTTCAAATTTTACAAGATTATGTAATTTGAATTTTATAAAACATACCAAAACATTAATGTGGAAAAAATCCCCGCTGATTCGCGAGGATTTTTGGGAAGTTGTTTAGCTTGCATTATTATTTATGATTTAAAGCATTAACAAGGTTATTTAACTATATTGAGTCTTATTTAGTAGTTACTTATTATATTTCTAAATAAGTCTTCAGAAACTCTTGTTTTCTATAAGTAGAGATTAGTTTAAAATTCACTTGGATGTTTTGGAACTATTATCACTGAATTACAAATTATAAACTTTCCATTCCAAAAATGGATCCAAGTCTTGGATAAAGACGTCCGATGCGTTCTGCTTTTTAGCAGCTTCTGGTCCATTTTTAAATGCCCCCCTAGTGATAAAAGTCGTGGAATTTTCTCACCTGGATGACGTAGGTTATCTTGAAGATAATCTTGTTGCTTTATGTTAGTAACAAAGGGCATTTATAGTTGTTTATGTTTGGATGTTTTTGTAGATATAGGCCATATTAGACATATACATAATGGAAGTTGAGGGATTTATGTTACCAATATGTTAAAGACAAATCATTAAATTGGAGAGTTATTTTATTTCATAAGAATTTGTAATAATTTTACAATTGGAGATAACTACTCCATAAAGATAATATCTAAAAATAGATTTTTATAATTGGTTTAAAAGATAAAAGACAGTTATGAAACTAAATTTAATAACCCTTTGGCTTAAATATATAAAACTGTTTAAATATTAACAAATCTTTTAAATCTTAAACTCTTATTTGTTACTTCTATTCCCTAATCATGCAATAAAATTATTAGAAGTGATGATACGCCTTGACTCTTTACTGGCGCCATCTGTGTCTCGCGCTAAAGTGTGGCGGCAAAAATTTGAATGTCTGTTATCTGAGTTTTAGTTTCCCTCGTTAAAAAAAAATAAAACTCCAGTATGGTTCACTCTTTAAATATTTATAAGCTGAATAAACAAATTCTCCCTTATTTTGTATGGTTTACTTAGCTGGTTATCAATAAGCAAATAAAAAATTAACTAACAAATTGAACCGCACACACGTCCTTATGTGAGTATCTCACAATTTCCAGTCGGATTCAGCTGGTCACGAACTTTTCCTTTTTTTCCCCTCAACTCGTGTGTGTATTTTATCATTTATTTACATAAAATAAGCGACCGCAAGGTTTAATTAACCGCAAAAGTGGCAGGAAAAATTAAAAAAAAAAAAAATGTATAAATATGTATCCAATGCTGAGAAGTAAAAGAAAAGAAAAAATAACAAAATATATATAAGCATATATATAAAATGTGATATGTGAGTTAATGCAAAACGTAAACATGAAGAAAAATTACACGACGAAGTATAAATACATGTGGAAATAGATACGCGGACAGAGTGTATTGGCATTAAACGGAGTAATAAGGTAAATATGTGGTCAGCAGATGCAGATACATATACTCACAGATACGATAGCAATGTGCATAGTTATTTGTAAGATGATAAGTTGCTGAAGGATTCACTTTCCAGTCAAGCCTACCTGGGAAATTATTCAAGTTTCAAAACTGAATTATTAAGTTTATTTAGTTAGAAATGTATGGATGTTAATAAATCTAAAAAAAACTTTTGAAAACAGTTATAAATAGTATTTAAAATTAAATCTTAGCTTCAGAGAAGAGTTATTCCATAACATGTGTGTATATAAATATGGGGCGCCTGGCCAGACCACGGACGTTGACCGCTCGCTGAGTCAGTGCCATTACCGTTCCCCCATCCTGCAGCACCCACCCCTCCTCCACCAGAGAATACCCATACCCACTTTCCCCTTATCAGTGAACGAGAACACAGCGTGAGTGCGCCTGTCACTTGGGGCAGACATATGTTTCGTTACAAATTGACGACCGCAACTCTCTTATCAGTGGCTGCTGCTGATAACAACAACAACGGCTACCAGAGTGGAGGGGAGAAAGGCAACAGCAAGGCAACCGCTGGACAACAAAAGACAACAAACGAAAATTAACGAAAACTAAATTTAAACACGTCTTGCTGCGGTCCACCCAGCGGAGAGATGTGTTTCATTAGCTGCAGCTGCAACGGGGCTCCATCTTTTTCATTTTTCGCGCCATCTCGTTCGCTGCTGTCCAAAACTGGACGGAAAATAAATAAATTTAATGTTAAAAGTTTAATTTAAGTGGAAAAAAACTATACCTTTCAATACATGTTCTTAAGATTTTTCTGTTAAAACTTTATTATATAAAATTTTACTTACTTTTATTTATGAAATATAATTCTCTGTGTATTTATGCGGTCAGTGTATATGAGTGTTGTGGAGTAAGAGGGGCTTCTGAAAGGGAAAAGCATGTGCTAAGTACCATTATGGGGTTAAGGGTTGTCCAGTGGCAACCGCTGACTTTTCTCTCACAGCGGGTTATTTCTACTAAATAAGGCTTACTCCGGGACCCCATGTGGATCTGTCAGAGCCTAATCCTGTTCTAAAAGCCGGAAAGGGTTGTAGAAGACAACGAACCGTTTTATATAATTGTGACTATCACAAACAGATAATGCGCTCATTAAGATGAAAAATTCTATTAAAAGATATAAACATATTTGTATATTATTCAAATAGCTTGAACAGGGAGTTACTTTCAAGTTTGTAATTAATTATTCAAAAGGTTCTTTTAGAGAATTAGAGTATTTACTTGTAGAAGTATCACCTGTTTCGATTTACGTATTTTAAACAGTTCAAAGCTGACCTCATGGGCTGCCAAGCCGGTCAGGAAAATATTAAATCCCATACTCTTAAATCCGTTTCCCCCATCGATTCCATTCGATTCGAACTGGTCCGGTGCGGTGCGGTGTGAACGGGCAATGGCAAACAGGCAAATAAACAAACAATCGAGGGGCGGAGGACAATGGGCGGAAAGTGTTCGTCCTTTGGCTTTTCCAGCGGTGCGTATGCATATGTGTGTGTGTCCCTCTCTGGGTGTATGTGTGTGTGTGTTTAAGTTGCAGGGTTGATTGCTCAGTGGCTTATACAAACCCTGGTGCTGACCTGGCCAAGAATTGAGGACGTGCGGGGTGATGGGCGGCAGGAAACAATTAGCTCTAAATAAAATTTCAAAATAAGCAACTGTTTGCGCTTGAAAGCCCCAGGATTTTCATCGGGAACGTGGCAAGCGGCACGCGAGCCCCATTTTCGGGGGGAATGAGAGCTCATATTAGATAGCATGATATCACTTAATTACGGTATTTAAATGAGCAACAAATGATATGCTTTTAGGCTTTCCACGGCCCACCCACTTGGCCGCTATCGAAAAGCCTCAAAACGAATATCTCTGGCTTTTCCAAATTTATTTCAATATTTCCTCCAAAAACGTGCGCTGAAAACTATGCAACATTCTGTGGAGCGTAATCATCTTTGGACAACTTCATTGGCACATGTGTGAGTGTGTTTGAAATGTAATTGAAATTTAGTTGGTAAAACTAATTGGAATTGCTGCATTATGCAAACGACGATAAAACCCCAACAGTGAAGCCCTCATTTGGGCAAACAATAAACCTATAAATTAAACAAAATATTTGTATCAATTGATTTAAGAAATGAAAAAATTAAAGCTAAATCCTAACCTAACCTTCTTTTTTTATGAAAGACATCTACTTTTATTAAAGTCAGTAAACACCGTAGTGTTATTTATCAAAAACGCAATTTTTATAATCTTTCTATCGAGAAGGACAATGGCTGGTATTTGAGCGCGCTTTTGACTAAACCCAAAACTGTATGACCTAAATGATTTAATTAACCAAAATAGTATGTGGAATAATCAGCACAATGGTCTTGTAGGATGGGGGCTATTACAAAGGTGGTAAACGGGGGCTGGCTGCCGAACTGCAGTTCAATTATTGACCCATTTAGGAAACTGTATCTGACATTTCGTTTAGTGTTTGGACAATATCGAATTATACGTTAGATTGGGCGGTCCCAGGTCACAAAAGTCACATTCACAAGCTACTCTTCCCCACCTCCACTTGTTTCACAATTCAACAATTTTAAATCCTCGCTGAACATTAATTAATGTGCTGTTATCACTTTTCCCATCTGATTTAGCATGCCTGGCCCGAATTTCCCATATTTGTTTTGTTATTCATACAAAACTTTTGTGTCAAGTAGAACAAAAGCCAAAAGTTTACCAAAATTCAAACGCAAAAAATTGTGTGAGCTCTCTCCTACATAATAATAAAAGTTTCATCTGTGCTCAATTTAAGCCGCGTTTTGGGTGGGTTTACCCACTCGGCTTGGTGGGAAAGTTTGCCTTATTTACTGGTTATATTTGGCTTGTATTTTTTGAGCTTTTATTTTTAATGAATTTGATTAAACTGGTGATAAATAATTTGATACAACCTTATATAAAGGTTATATAATACAAATTTTAAATGAGAAATATTCATACGTTTGTATATCTTTTATACTTACTATTTGTCAGCTTTGAGTAGATAGTTTCTGTTCTATTAAAAAATATATAAAAGCTCTGTCCTGATTACCATTCTCATTATCTGTTGGAAAATCCTTTTAAAGGATTTAAAATATCACCCATGAAAAAAGTTTCTCAATTCTCTCAGCGCTGACGTTTCACTTTTTTGTGTCTGAGATTCTTATGCTTATATTTTGGCCAGGTGTTGTTTTTATTTTGGTGAATTTTCTTTGTTATATTTTTATTTTGTTAGTTTATTTTGTTGCGTTTTCGGCTATGTAGAGCACACATAGTTTTCACAATTTCCGTGAAAATGAAATACCAATAGCCAGAGGCCAGACGTGTGCGACATGCACGAAAAGAAATAGTTTTCAACTTTTATAATTGGAGTTAAATTAAAATAGTGATTCAATCAGAGTAAACTTTGACATTTTTTAAATTGTTAAAATAGGTCTTAGATTATAAAATTTTTGTGCTTAGTGGACACAACCACATATGCCAATGTGTTGGCTTAAATATGCGTGTGTTTCCAGGTATACAAGCACGCAAATTATGCAAACGGCTACCGCAAATAACATAAATTTCCCAAACTTGGCGGTTCGCAGCGCACCTGGATCAGGTGAGGTGAGGCAGGAAACTGGGATGGGGCCTGGTGCAGTGTTGACATCCAAAACATCTATGGCCAAAACCGATTCAACCACCGCTTACTAAGCCAAGAAAATTATTGTCAATACCAAAAATGATGAACGTGACTATTTGGGCTTTCAATATTGAAAATATTAAAAATAAAATTTAATTATTTTTATAATATTTGTTGAATCTTAAGAGCTTAACCAACAAAAACCAACAAAAAAATGTATTTTTCAATTATAGATCCTAGGGATAGCAAAATAAGGATAGCCAAAGTGGCAGCACAGGTTCTGTAATGAAGGACCTACCACCATCGAGGTGTTGGATGATAGCGCCACATAGAAATGTAAACGCACTGGAATTGGCTTCTGTGTGTCTCTGCGTGTGTGTGTATCTGCATGGCATTGTGTGTGTGGTGGGGCAAATTCCCGTCAACAAACAACTTTATATACAGAAAAGGGAGAATATGCAATTTGCAGAGCTTTTGATTTCGTTTAATGCACGCGCATCTTCAGCATTCATAATAAAGGCAGATTACGAGCGATGACAACACTGTCAATACACCACTGCCACCGGGATTGGGGGCGAGTTTCCAGGGGCAGGGCATAGGAGGATTGGGGGCAAGCAAGAGGGTCTGTCAATGGCAGCGGCCAATTACCGTAAATTTGCATGGGACACCAACGAAAAAATAAAAATTAAGCCGGGATTTGCAGTCACCGAACAAAAAATGCCCTCATATAGGAAAATCTTTGAAAATCATAAAACCGTGTATATTTAGTTAATTATTAATTATTGTTTTTGTTAAAAATGAATGAGTACATTTTTTATAAATTTTATTCAATAAATTCGGTTGATTTTACCTTTTTATAAAACAAATATTTGAATTTGTATACAAGTTTCAATCAATTGAAGCGTACGTTTACTGGGCATCTTATTTTTGAGGCTTAAACTAAAGATCAACAAAATAAGTTATGCAAGTAACGATTCCCTGACATGTCGCCACACACATGATCGTGGCAGCTCGTGAGTTTTTGACATTAATGCGCTTAATTAAAGTAGCGCCTGAAAGTCAATAGCAACAACGACTGTATTATGGCTATATTTATATGTATTCTTATGTAACACATTTTTTATTATCACAATTTTTATACCTGGTACACTTACATAGGCAAGGGTATGTTTTAGAGAGGGAATCATCTTCGACCCCATAAAGTATATATATTCTTGATCAGCATCAACAGCCAAGTCGCTATTGACATGTCTGTCTGTTCGTATAAACGCATGGATCTTAGAGACAGTAAGAGATAGAGCTATAGGATTTGGAATGGAGACTCCTATAATGCCCACGCAGTTCAAGTTTGTTTCAAATTTATGCCACGCCCCCATAAATACCCTTTTTTTAAAGGCCAGTACAGGATGTTCTTTTGAAAAACTTAAAAATCCATTATTTTTTTTATATTAAAACTGTCGAGTCAACCGTCTACAATCAGGCAACTTAGACCAAGCTTTGCAAACGTAACAGACGTACCATTTATGACGTCACATTGCATTGCTGCACTTTCTATCCGCGCCCTCCCTTCCTCCCTCACCCGCTCTGTCGATCGGCCACCTGCACTTCCCATCTTTTTCGAGACCGTATCTCGTGTTCGAACTATATTGCTTCGTGCTAAGTCACTCTACTTATCTTTGTCAAGCGTTGAGCCATGCTCGTATTATTATTATTTTGACCGTCCCCTCTAATTCTGAATCGCTCGCGACTGATAAGAGACTAAAATATTAAAGTGAATTTAAGTGAAATTCTACCAAAGTAAATTTTTTGGTCCTTAAAAATGAGACTAGAAACTGACATGTGTTCTTTAGGAAATTCTATAATGACTGGATATTCCGGTCGCTGGGATTTCTGGACCAGAGATTCCTCACAGGGTAGCAGGAGTTCGCCGTTTGTGGTGGTCAATAAATCTGCAACCTCTATGCTGCTAGGTAAGTGGGTTTTTCTGATAGAATACAGATAACCAAAATGGATAAACTTCGGGATATCGGTGTAAATGGTGAGCGAATAATATAAAGCGAGGCGATTGGGAGTCAACCAGCAGTCTAGTCCAAAAGACGAGGAAGTGTGGACCTTTGTAGAGCAACAATTTAGTCGATTACGTGGGGTTACGATCATTTTCGAAATGGGAGTAATAAAGGACCCACAGCAGATCTACATACCAGAGTATCTCAATGAAAAGTTTTTCTCTGATACTCTGGAAGAGGGACTACGGGAATCTAAGGTGACCTTGAAGGAGATCAACTTTGAGTGGGGATGTAATCCAGGGGACAACTACTGCTCGACAATCTATCGTGTCCAGGTATCGTTTTCAAAATGGGTAGATGGCAAGGAGTCGCCAGAGGAGGAGCAGCTATCGCTGATCGTGAAGACCATTCCAATCACAGAGGCCACGCAGTTCCTGGAGGACGTTAGTGCGTTTACCAAGGAGAAACAGACCTACACAGACGTCCTCCCACGGCTCGAAGTTCTGAGCCGCAACGACAAGTTCGGGGCAAAGTAAGAATGAAGCCGATATTTTAGAATTAAAATTAAATTTAATATCTAACGTCTTACATCTACCAGGTACTATCATTCAATCAAAAGCCCTGTGCAAACTATTGTCTTTAGTGACCTAAAAGTGGAGGGCTTCAAGGTAGCCTCTCGGGAATCCGGTTTGAACTGGAATCATGCCTCCCTAATTCTCCAACAACTGGGCAAGTTCCACGCTACCTCAATGGTATTGGCTGAAAAGGTAAGAGAGACACTACTCGTACCTTGAAGGGATTTTCATAAAAAAAAAAACATTCTACAGGATCCTGCCATCTTGAAAAGATATACCCGCGGTATGCTAAGCGAAGATATTCTGATGAAGAGTGATACCCTGGAACAAATGTTTGGCGGCTTCCTCAAGGGTGTCATCAAGAGTTCTGCAAGCTGGGCCGGCTTCGAGAAGATTAGTGCGAACTTGCAGCGCCTTTTGGATAACTTCCGTCAGGTGTTTGTGGCGGCAGTTAAGCCAAAGCCCGGAGATCGCTATGTTGTTCTGAACCATGGTGATATGTGGACGAATAACTTTATGTACGCTTATGATGACCCTACCAATCCGGAAGTTCCCACGCAGGCCATCTTTGTTGACTTCCAACTGAGTTTCTACGGAAGTCCGGCATGCGACTTGAATTTCTTCCTCAACACAAGCCTAAAGTTTGAGCTTGTCCAGGTGCGGAGGGAAGAACTCATCAAAGTGTATTATGCCGCTTTCAAGGACGCCTTGGAATACGCCCGGTTCGAACACATTCCCACCTACGAAGACCTGCAATATGAGCTTCGCAGTCGCGAAACATGTGGATTGTTTGGCTTGTTAGCGTTCCTGCCACTGATCACTATGCCCAAGGAACTGGCCCAGGACAATAGTATAGAAAATATGCAGGACGAAGATTTTAAGCAGCGCAAGATGGATGCCATATTTGGCCAAAAGTTTCTCAGCGATTATCAGAAGTGGGCCCTGAAGCGTGCCGATTCCCTTGGTGTCTTTGGTGATTACTAGATACGTAATAGATGGAACTAGGAATCCATATGTCCCATGCTTTTGTTTACAATTTAAATCTTAACGGAAAATCATACAGTTTCTAACTTATGTACATGTGCTTAAATGTTAAAATTAATAAAATTAATATAGAACCATTGCAGGATAGAAGGCTTTCTTTAAATCAAGTTAGACCCCCCACAGAAGAGAGAGAGAGACACAATAAACAAAATCAAGAAATCAGTGAGTGGGAAAAAGGGAGAGTGCCCAAACTGATGGAGATTTTGCATTCCCATTCAAACAATGCAATAAAAATTGGGTCAAAGATCAAGTGGAGCTCAGCGGCAGCAACAAAAAAAGCTGAAGAGCGGAGCTGCGAGCCGAGAGCTCAGAGCGCAGTGAGGCAGAGATGCGAAATAGAGTTGGATGCGAAGAAGAGGAAATAGGAGCAGAGGATGCAGCGGCGCGTGGCAGCGGCATGGTGGCACGATGCAAAAAGGGGGGCAGTGGGGCCAGGCACTGGAGCAGAGGTCGCTTCGCCAAGCATGATATGCACACACACTTTCATCCGCAAACGCACACAACCAGAGAACCAGAGAAGAAGTGAGCTCCAGAGCCGGCGCAAGAAAAAGATTAAGAAATATGCGAGTGGGTTTTTTTCGATGATTTTTCTGTGAGCCATACACTAAAAAAAGAGTTTTGTTACTCAAAAGTAGTTTGAATTAAGTTTTTATATAAAAAGGTATAACAAACACTTCTCAGAAAACCAATATTTAAAAACATAATATAATAAGTATAAGCCTAAGTATAGGCCTAATTTTATTTAAAAAAATTCTTTTGATAATATTAATCTTTTAATCATATTTTTATGAATTATTTGTATAATCAAATTTTTATTTCAAGTGTATTATTGTTACTGCTGGTGTGGCTGGGAGCCATGTGAATGAGCATGCATATGCAAGCAGTTGGTCGGTCGGTCGGAGGGCAGATGTGGAGATAGGCTGGGTGGTGCGGAGTGGAAAGGAGAGAGGTAGGTGGATGGCAGACTGTCAACGCCACAGCTGTGACTAAGCGGCGCATAACTACCAAGTACCAACAACAACTACCAACTGAATATTCGCTGAGGATGCCTGGCGACGATGCCATGAATGCAGTTTGTTCCACTCTCGCGCTCCCATCCCAATGCCCCCCACCACCATGGCCACTGTGCTGCACTTCCCACCCCACCCCCATCACTTCCCCTTTCTTTTCTCTTCTGGCTTCATTCCTTTTGTAGTTGCAGCAGCTTTTTTTTGCCTTCTTTTTTTTTTATATATTTTTTGGCTGGCATGCTCGTAGGCGTTGATGATAGCAAACGAAGCAACAACAAAGCGGCCAAATACAGTGGGCCGAAATCGCCGCCTGCCGTCAAATCGATAAGTGATTAATGGCTCACTAAGTGATAGTGAGTGAAATAAAAAACTAGACAGTCTTTTGAGATTTTGATAAATGGTGCACCACATAATACTGCTAATTAACAAAGTTTTAAAAATTTGTATTGGTACAAATAGACATCATGAAAAATAAAAAAAAGATTTCAAAAATATTTCAATTTTTCAAACTATGTTTGTTTTTTATGTGTTAAAATCTAAACCTTATTTTAATTTTACTTCCAATTCTAAAACTCAACATAAATAAACGATTTCCCTCCCATTGTTCACAAAATAAAGCCTGCAGTGGAATTTGGCAAACTGGAAAACTGCATGAAAATATGCAAAAACGTCGAAATGATTGCGGCTGAGCCTTGCCGCATGCACACTTCTTGGTAACTCTCCTTGCAACCCACATCCGTCTAAGCGACTCATCTCCTTGTTAGTCCCCCACGACCCATTTTCACACACTTCCTTACACTTGCTATTTATTTTTACAGGACACAGATTTTTTTTGGTATGGTATGGATGCCTAAATATTGAAATTAATATATTTTTAAGAGAAATACTTAAATTTGAACGTTTCGGATTTCTATAAGCCTGTATACAGTGCGTATGAGCGATAATATGAAATGTTTTGATTTGAAATCATTAGTTTCCGGTTTTGAAAGTAAAAATGTACATATGTTTGTAACTTCGGAATGAGATTCAATATCAATGTCAAATGTATAATGTTTTTAGAATAATACGTTTATTGCTTAGTTCCCCAGTGCTTTGATTTAGGCCCCTAATGAATTCGGTCTCCAATGAATAAATTTCTAATAATCAAACATTTATATCCGAATGGCTTTCCAAGCCTAATAAAATTTCATTTATAAGAAACATCTTGAAAGGAACAGCTCGATCACGTCGAGGAAAATATACTTTTCTGACCGAAGGACTTTTTCTTCCCTAATGAAGTGGACAATTACATATTTTATTTTTCATCTAGCAGTGCTTACTTTCTGCGGGGCCGAGCATTCCCTTTGTCACATATGGTCGGATCGTGGAAGTGTCATTCGAGTTGGTGAATATTTGTATTGCAGATGCAATAATGCCGAGGATCCGGCTGAAATGAGAATTATAACATATCCCCTCGTTGACGATATAAACACAACTATTGTTGATAATAACACCATCAAAACCACAATAACGGATTCCTTTGAAAAAACTGAAATTTTTACATGTGGACGCTCAGGAAAATTTCGCCATTTAACTGCCATTAACACAATTCATGTTATTCCGTTGTTGGATGTCACGGGCACCGATTGTTTTTTAAAGGAAGGAGAGGGTTTGCCTCTTGTCGTTTTAGAAGCGTGGGTTCCTGGCAGTTCAACCAAAAAACATATTCTGTGACTCCAAACAATTCAACAACAAAACTTCCTTGCACGTATATGGCTGAAAACGAAACAATAGTGATTTGCAATAATATTCCCGTGGTCTATGGAGTCACAACTAATAATCTGACACTTGAAATGGAGTATTATGGGGATGTACAAATTAAACAATTCAATTTTGACATTCGTAGTATAATTGAGGCATCGTTGGTTCCGCTTGGTGTGCAAATGGACGTAAATAATCGGGCATGTTTGTTGTTTTACTCTTCCAATGCGTTAATTTATGCATATAGATGCATATGGAACATGATTCCTTTAAACCCTATGGTTAAAAAAATGGAAGATGTTGTAACAAATTGCATTCGCGAGTGTCCAGTTCTCAATTGCATGAAAGAACCACTTAAAGCCTACCAGCCTTATCTGTTTCATGCAACGTGTGGCTATGTTTCCTCCTCCCGGAAACAGACCGTATATAAGAACTATACGAGTCTGGCTATGTGGCCCGACAGAGCTCCAAGGATTCTACCAAACTGATTTTTTTACGCTACAGACAGTTCGAACCAGCTTTTTATATTCTGGATACATCTAAAAGAGCTAGAATGGAATGGTCCGAACTTTACTTATTCTGCGTACACGAACAATGGGTAAGCTTTTGAAGACATCCATTTAGTTATGAATCTCAACAATTTTTTTCCAGAAAAAAGGGAGAAATTCTGAATAACAATACCGCATTATTTCGCGAATGGGATGACTCACTCTCGGATACCGTTTACATCAGGAGCCAGAATTCCATGGGTTCCTCGGTTGATCAAAGTGAATTGAGAGTGCGTTCCCAAATTAATTCAAAAGCATATCAGCCGAGGAATCTTCGGTATGATCCAGAAAGCTACACGTTGAGATGGGACCCCTCAATTGAACAGAACGATCTTCTAGGCTATACTGTCTATTGGTGTAATGCGTCCAAGATATCTCCACGTCTATGTCATGAGGAAGAAGATTCTCCGTGGGTTGACTTGCCTGTGTCAGAGCATCAATATCATTTCCCTATATCGATGTACCTGTCCCACATGGGAGTGTCTGCCAACTACAGTGATCAGAAATCAGGCGGAATACAGTGGCTGAATATGCATTCATACTCCGAGTCACCATATTCAGGATCAGGATTGAAGTGGAGCATTGTTCCGGTTGCTGTCTCAGCGTTGATAATCGTAATTTCTTACGTTTACCGAAGGTGTCGACAAATGGCCGACATTAAGGTTGTTCTTCCAGAGTTTTTTGAGATAACGAAAACTACTAGTCCCCATCCGACTACTATAACTATACCGGGTCACGTCTCTCCGGAAGAAGTAATGGATATCAGTGAGTTTTTAAAATCAAAGGAAACCCCACAAACGGATACGCAACAAGACGAGGAAAATCCGTACCTGTCTTTAGGAAACACGGGAGCATCACAAGTCACTGGATTGCACGGACCTGTAACAGTTATACCACAACATGTGGATAGTTTATTGGATTCCTCTAAGTCCACAGGATTATATAGTGCACATTTTGAATATATTTCAATTTAAATAATATCCATTATAAATGTTTGTTTCATTGTTTGTAACATTGTTTTCTTTCTGCATAAAGAATCTGTATGGTTTTATAATAAAACTAATATTAAGTTAAGACTTTTGGAGCATGTGGAGTTTTATGTGTTTTGGGGATATTCCCAAGATTTTCAAGAAAAAATTAAAAAAAAAACGAATTTTCTGTATTTATTTATAATTTTTTTGTTTAATAGAATTTATTTCACTTTTAGCCGACGGTCAAGGGTATAAAAACGTATAGACCTGAAAAATTGTGTAAGCTAAAAAAGGCTTTATATGGCCTTAAACAGATTGGTACACAACAGAGTTGTAAAACAGTGGAACAAAAAGCTGGATAGTAATCTCAAAGAACTGAACCTTAAGCCACTCGCCGCCGATAAATGCGAGTATATGCGCGATAATGCGCCGATAAATCTGGAAAAAGTTCCAGATGAAAGGTTTGGGTAAACTATCATATTGCTTGGGCATCAAGTTTAAACAAAACAAAGAAAAAACAGAGTTTACTATATAATATATATATATATCCAAAATATATCACAGATATTCTTAAACGGTTCAATATGGAGAATTGTAAGACTGTAAATACACCACAAGAACACGAATGAAAAATAGTCAACTAAAATGTGTTCAAAAACCGAAAACGAGAA